CCACTGCCGCCTCCCCCTGCCATCCAGTGCTGCCCAGGCGAGCTGTAGGGCCTGCTATCTTGAGTGTTGCAGCTGGTAAAGGGCTGAACCAACTTCCCCACTTGCTGCAGGTGGTGTTGCTGGGGCGGGGGAGGGAAGCCAAGCTCTGCTCTTATACACATTAGCCAATTCTGTGCAAGGGAACAGAGAAGAGGAAGTTGCCATTGCGGAAGTTTCAGCCTCTGCCCATCCCTGCGTGGTTCTCACAGTGAGTTGCATGGAATGCGGTGGGGCCACACGTGTGTTCCTGAGTCTCAGGGGACAGGTCTGTTTGGCCCCCGTTTGACACATTGGTTTACCCACTCTCAAAAACCGCCGAAGTGTTGATACGAAGCAAGAAATATATGATCTTATGCAACAAAACACGGTTACAGGTTAAAATATGGGGTGGGTTTTGAAATGTGCTCCAAGAAAAGGGTGGAACGCAAAGTGTCACTTATTGGGTAAGGAGATTCCTGTGATACACCCAGGCTAGACAGATGATCAGAGGCAGAGAGGACAATCTGAGGTGAGTGTACAATGGGAGTCAGTGTGAAATTTGCATGTGGTACTCTTGGGGATGATGAGGCGGTGTCCAGACTAGAGACTGATAACTTCCTGAGAGTAGCCATCCCCGAGCGCCCAGTATTCTCACTTTCTGTAAGTCTTTGTGATCACCTCCCTTTAGTCTCCGTTGCTTTTCATGTCCCCTTTGTAGGGGATCAACAGATACGTGACGTCAGTGAGTCATTGCCAACACCTTGGATGTTGTCTTTTGGTTTCTCTTTTGAGGAACTGGAATGACGGATTGAAGTCTTCCATGTCATTGAACTGGCTGACCTTCGCTCTAACACTGAAACAAAGGATACCATCGCCATCATATTTTGAGGGAGGAAGAATGGAAGCTGTTTCTGGAGCATTGATAAGTGCTCCCTCTGCATCTTAAGGGAAACCAGCGAATATCATTTTGTGAGCATAAACGCCTCATTGTGAGCTGTTGTGGGCCATGCTACTAATGCAGCAGACGGGAATTGGGAACTCTGATGTCACCCCATCAGATGCCTAATTCTCTGATGCAGTGAACCCTGTCCAAGCAACGCTTATGGGGCCACTGATTCTGGAAACCAGTTGCTTCTATCTGTAAATTCTCATGTGCAAAAACAGCTGTGGAATCTCCCCGTAACTGTGCATTTTCACATAACTTGTAAATGTAGTCTCACGATTACATCTCAGTCTCATGGGTACATACATCTGTGGACAGTCAGGCAGATGTATTCTCATTAAGTGTATGATTTTGTCGGGAGGCAGAGGCAGGCAGATCTCTGTGAGTTCGAGGCCAGCCTGGTCTCCAGAGCGAGGTCCAGGACAGGCTCCACAGCTACACAGAAAAACCCTGTCTCGAAAAAGCAAAACAAAAAAAAAAAAAAAAAAAAAAAGTTTTAGATTTTGGTGAACAGAAATGTACTAGGATGTGCTTCATAACCAGATCTATTGTATCACTTATGCCCTGTTTTGTTTTTTTTCATCATTGGCTCAAACTGGCATAAAGAAAACAATTTTTCTTCTCAGTTTTAAGACAAGCCACATCCAATTAGTTGAGTCAAGACCTCAAGAGCAAACTCAGAGTAGACCGAATATCTCTGCAAAAGGAGCACAAGTTAGACTTTAATAGATTATACAGAGGTGCAGGTGTCTGGCTTGTTGAATCAAAGTCTTGCAGGCATAAAAGCAGCCTAAAACTTGTATGGCAGTTTCTGTAGCCAGGCCTGGCTGATAACAGAGACCAGCAGTCACTCCCTACTAAATTCCTTAGCAATTAACACTATCACTAACTTCTTTTTTAAATTAAAATTAAAAACAATCTTATTTTACATATCAATCCCAATTCCCTCTCCCTCCCATCCTCCCATGCCCCCCCACCGACCTCCCCATCTCATCCCCATCCACTCCCCAGCTAGAGTGAGGCCCTCCATGGAGAAATCAATGAAGTCTGTCATATCATTTGGGGCAGGGCCTAGGAGAATATCATTTCATTGGGAATGGGCTCCCAGAGCCCATTCTTGCACTAGGGATAAAAACTAGTTCCGCCATCAGAGGTCCCATAGATTACCCAGGCCTCCTAACTGACACCCACATTCAGGGGGCCTGGTTTGGTCCTTTGCTGGTTCCCCAGCTGTCTGACTGGGGTCTGTGAGCTCCTACTTGTTCAGGTCAGCTGTTTCTGTGGGTTTCCTCAGCATGGTCTTGACCCCTCTGCTCATCACTCCTCCCTCTCTATGACTGGATTCCAGGAGTTTGGCTCAGTGCTTAGCTGTGGATCTCTCAAACTAATTTCTAACCTTAGTTTATGAAATTGTTGGCTCAGCTAACTAACTGTCTATGCTTAAGTCCCCAAATTTATGTAGAGGGCAATAATAACACCCAATTAATCAAGTCCAGAGAGAAACAGCTTTATGTGGGCAAAGTTTCACAGATAGCCAATGCTACAAAAGATGGTCTGGCCTCACAGACTTGATATTCAGGGCTACAGAGGAAGGTCTTACTTCACAGCCATGGATAAAAAACTTACAAGCTTCCTTCCTTGTTCTTAGGGGCTGCATGCAGGATAAGATAATGTATTTTTAAGCTTGGAATGCCTTCAATGCCACTGCCTGGGAAAATGCCAAACACCTGTGTGTTGCTTGGGTAAATGGCTCTGCTCCTTACAGTTTACTCAAGGAATCCACTGTGAGCCTGAGAAGAAGTTTCTGTAAACTGTTTTTTATTAAAAGAAGCTCGTTATTGACTATGTAGGTATAAGCTAGGTGAACAAAGAAGCAAGAAAGAATTGAAATGAGACAATGAGAGCTAGAGAATTAGAACTAGAGAACAAGAGCTGGAAATAGAGAGCATGACTCTTAGATGGTGTGTGTCTTTTTCATTTAGATAGGGAATTTTCTTAAATCCTCAATGTTCTGAGGGGATGGGGGATGAGAACATGAGAAAACTTGATGTTTAATTTGGGGGAGGAACAGAGTGGGGGAACAATGAAAGAGAATTTTTTTTTTGTTTGTTTGTTTTTTCGAGACAGGGTTTCTCTGTGTAGCTTTGGAGCCTATCCTGGAACTCACTCTGGAGACGAAGAGATAGGAGATAGGAACATGAGAGATCTGATGGTAGAGTTGGGGGAGAGATGGAGAGGGAGAGAAATGAGAGAGATATCTTGATAAAGGGAGCCATTATGGTGTTAGGGAGAAACCTGGTGCCAGGGAAATTCCCAGGAATCCACAAGGATGACCCCAGTTAATACCCCTAGAAATAGTAGAGAGGGTGCCTGAACTGGCCTTCTCCTTTTTATTTTATTTATTTTTTAATTTTATTAGTTCAAATTAGGAACAAGCTTGCTTCACACGTCAATCCCTTCTCCCTCTCCCTCCCCTCCCCCCCAATGTCCTACTTGTTCCTAGCCATCCCCCCTCCACTCCCCAGGCAGGTTAAGGTCCTCAAAAGGGGGTCCCCAAAGTCTACCACATCATCCTGGGCCCTGGCCTTCCCCTTTAATCAGATTGGTGTCCATCATTATTGTCTTTTTGGAACTTCAATGCAGTAACTGATGGAAGCAGATGCAGAGATCGGTAGGCAAGCACCAGGCCAAGCTCTGGGAGTCTAGTGGAAGAAAGGGAGGAAGGATTATATGAACAAAGGAGGTCAAGATCCTGATGGGGAAATCCACAGAGACAGCTGACACATTCTCATTTGAATTCACAGCTGGCCATTCTGCATGGGACTGAACTAGGCCCTCTGCCTGTGGGCAACAGTTCTGTAGCTTGGTCTGTTTGAGGGCCCTGGCAGTGGGACACAGATCTATCCTTGGTTCATGAGCTAGTTTTTTGGAGCCCATTTATTTTGGTGGGATGCCTTGATCAGCCTTGATTCAGGGAGGAGGGTTTTGGTCTTGCTGCCAGGTTTTATTTGCTCCCCATGGGAGGCCTTACTCCTTCTGAGGTGGGGTGGGTTGGGGGAAGAAGTGTCAGGAGGAGGAACTCTAGTTGGTACATTAAATGAATAAAAATGTACATATATCCTAAGTCTTCAAATAATGGTAATTATGATGATGATAGTAACTATTACATCAATAAAAACAAGACACTCAATCCCCACCCCTAAAATAAGAAATTTTGTAAAAAGAGTATGTAGAGTGTCACTAGGGGATTTGTAGAGACCAGGGCTTCCTTAGACACTTTGAAGTCTTGAGTTACTCAGTATTCTCTTGCGAGTTTTGGAACTGATGGGATACAGGTGGTGGTCCATATCTTAGCAGTTGGGCTGTTGGAAAAAAATAATTCCTTCCTGGCTTCCTAATGAGATATTATTACTATATGAGAGAATTTATAAGGATCCCTGAGTTGAATTTGGACTTTATAATGATGGCCTTCTAGGATGGTCTATATATCAGGTCGAATGAGCTACTCAGTTTTCTATTTGAGTCAAAGAAGTTATAATTTCCCTCTGGAGATAGATTTTGATCATTGGGTATTCAAACCTTAAGATGGTGCTGAACTTGGTCATAATCAGTCTTCCTAGAAAGGGAATGGGGAACTGGACAGAATCAGGTATTCATGAAAGCAGAGTTTAGTGAAATGAAAGAGCTAAAAGTAGTATAAAGTAATGTAAGTTGTCTCTGCCATCCACTCCAGTAACAGTTTTGAAACCAGAGAGGATGACTATCTATAAAAGACAGTTCAAATGTGTATGTAACCCTCCCCTGAATCAATTCCATAGGGAACTGAATGTGCTGGCTCATGATAGCCATAGTAACCCAGAGTTCCAGGCCCTCATCATCATCCTTTTATTCCATTGCCACCAGATTTATAGGTCTCCTCCCCCCACCCCCGGATCTTCAGGTAGTTGATCCTCAACTGCCAGTAATGTTTTTTGACTATCTCATTATTAAACATTGAGACACTCACTTTCCTAGACTAATGTGCTATCTAGATTTAACGACCCGAGTACCCTGTTTCTTTGGTGAGGTAAGCTAGGATATTCCTCACCTAGCTACAGAAAACTTGCATCAAATATACGAAACATCTTAGCAATTGTATTTATTTTTCTATCGCCATAACTAAACTCCATGATCAAGGCAGCATAGACAAGAAAACTTTTAATTTGGCTTAGGGTTTCAGATTGTTGAAAGGCAAAAGCACGGTGGTGGGACCTGCAAGCAGGAATAAGAGCGAGAACATTGGAATGACATGAAGTTTTTGAAATTTCAAAGCCTACTCCCAGTGACATGCCTTGTCCAACAAAGCTGTGCCTCCTTATCTTTCCCAAACAGTTCAACCCCATAGAGACCAAGTGTTTAAATATGTGAGCCCATGGGGGAAATTATCATTTAAACCAGCACAGTGATTATCCTTTTATTTCTTCATCTCGGTCTCTCAAAAAATGGAATTACTCTATTAACATGGTATTGTGCCTGGACTGCAGATTGTTTGGCCTCTGCTTTGAAAGCACTTTCTGTTCTGTTTTGTTCTCTTTCACAACTCAAATGACCTCTGATTCAAATGTGCCTTTCAGTTTAGTTCATTTCAGTTCATTTCAGTTGAATTCAGTTCATTTCAGTCATACTTAGTTGTTCTGACTTATTTCAGAGTTTTTTTTTTTTTTTAGAATGAATAATCTGAGCTCTACTTTAGTCAATAAGTCCTCAGGGATATTCTGGAAAATTGCCATGATGATATTTACAACCCCATGACAAAGAAGAAATCGACACATTCTTGTAACAGAGCTTTGGGCTCCGGGAGAAGTGATCAGTTACTGAGCTCTATACTATAATGACAACTAGAGTTGTCTTCTAAGCCTTGGGTAAAAGGGAAATACATCAATCCTACATAACAATCTCTGACTTCTGACCTTTCAACCTTTGCTTAAGGAAGTTTCGTCTAAGCATTTTAGTGTTCTACCTTGTTTGTGCCTAAGGGTGTTATTTGAATTATTGCAATTGTTTTATGTTTCCCTTTGTCTCTAAAATGGGATTAGTCAAGACTTCATTTGCCTCTAGAATTCCAGGAAAAAAGAAAGAAAAGTGATGGATGGCATGACATTAGACATCCTCTTTCTCTCTCTCTCTCTCCCTCTCTCTCTCTCTCTCTCTTTCTTTCTCTGTGACAGGGTTTCTCTATGTAGCTTTGAAACCTATCCTGGCACTCGATGTGGAGACCAGGCTGGTCTCGAACTCACAGAGATATGCCTGCCTCTGCCTCCTGAGTGCTGGGATTAAAGGCATGTCCCACCAACG